TCCAGCGCGGCCGGCGCCAGCGGGGCGGGCGAGTAGCGGCCCGCCTCGTACAGCGCCACGCACGCCGCCGCGCCGCCCTCGTCCGCGTCCCACGCGGGGCTGGCGGCGCGCGACGCACTCTGCTCCTGCACGCCCTGCTCGAGCTGCAAGTTCTGCTGCGCGGGCTGAGAGCTCGGTCCCTGCTGCGCAGACTGCACGTTCTGCTCTTGGTGCGCAGACTGTACGTCCTGGTCTCCGTGCGCAGACTGTACGTCCTGGTCTCCGTGCGCAGACTGTACGTCCTGGTCTCGGTGCGCAGACTGCACGTCGAGGTCTCCGCGCGCCGGCTGCACGTCGTGGTCTCCGCGCGCCGGCTGCACGTCGTGGTCTCCGCGCGACTGGTCTCCGCGCGCCGGCTGCACGTCGTGGTCTCCGCGCGCCTGGTCTCCGCGCGCCGGCTGCACGTCGTGGTCTCCGCGCGCCTGGTCTCCGCGCGCCGGCTGCACGCCCTGCTCCTGCTTGAGCAGCTGCAGCTTGCGGCGCAGGTTGGTCTGGTGGCGGTCGCGGAGGCGCGCGCGCGACATGTGCGCTGTAACATTACAGACACGACTCGTGACGTTTCACTTCTTCCAAGCAATAAACAAACGTTAAACTGCCACTTTTAACTTCCAATGAATTTCAATTTTTCACCAAAATGGAAAATGGAGCCTAGCGACAGTTGCATTACAATCTGTGGCTGCTGCCAGCGGCTCCGACATTATAAATGTTTGTGTGTGTTACTCAGTCACATCAATACGGCTGAAGGGTCCGGGGTGACATTTGGAATAGAACTAAATGATTGTGTGGACGCGGGCGAAGACGATAGCAGAAGCTAGTATATTTACACGGCAATACCTTTAAGCTGGCTGAGCAAGCTCTCCCAGTAGCCGACGTCGACGCCGTCGTGGCGGCCGCTGATCTTCTGCTCGATCTGGGTCTGCAGCGCCTCCAGCTGCGCGCCCGTCTTGCCTTTGAATATCTACGCGGACACAACAAACACTCCAAGCTCACACAACAACACTGCCAGCCTAACTTTGCATCGGGTCACACCTCACAACCAAGGTGCTGCAAGTAGTGACGTCGATTCAAAGTCAAAGCATTTATTTCAATTCATCCTTAATTAGGCACCTATGAAACGTCAAACATTCAATTGTCCGTCCGTCTGTCAGTGAAGCGAGGCGCTCGTTCCAAAGTGTAATTTCGAATGGAGAAGACCGAGCAAGATACTACATCGGTACTCTTTTAAAAAAAAGTTTTTTACATTCCCATTGATACATTATCTGATCCTTTACCTAATGTATATAATATATATGCGTGAGAACGATGTAACGACAATACAACGTCAAAATGTAATGGGAAAATATTTTCGATTCGTCGCCAACCTGGGAGTATCCCACAATCCCCTATGTGTTTCCTGCGATGTTTCGTACTTTTGAGGAGGTACTATGTTCGGCTGCAAAATTCTTGTTTTGTTTGAAAGGATATATTCCCGAGATGATCCCATTTCCATGAGGTCAGGATCTGATGATAGGATCCTAGAGAAACCGAGGGGATCTTTCGAAAATTAAGTAATGCGTCTATTATGTTTTTCAATTAGGATTTTTAAACACTATAATTTGATAAGGGTCTGGAGTCGACCTGATGATGGAGCCGACAGACAGTTGAGAGAACTCCTCAGCAGTTTATATTAACTACCTTGTGTTTAGGCTTGATTAATTTGTATTGATGAGGACTTACACCTAGATAGAGAGGGGCTGTCATTAAGGGTCTGATGATGAAGAAGTGGCTATTTTTGTAAAACTTCATTTATGTAAAAGTCATAGATGGTTCTTTAAAACCCACGCTGTTTACATTTTGTTGTGCTCCGTTTAAACTCTATGAAGTGGTATTGTCAAGCGTTCTTGCATTGAAGGCTGGTTGTGGTCTACATCCGTAGTTCGGCAACCATTATTTAATTAAAATAAAATGGATTCCACACAGCTCGAATTGTAACTTTACTCGAGGTCGGGCGCGGACAACGTGATGTGGCTCGCAGACTTTATTTTAAAAGGGGGCTAAAGAAGTATACAAGAGCTGCTTACAGGCTAGGATCCTTGTTCGCAAACTTGGAACAGTATTACTAATTACTTACTACTTTTTATTCCACGCGAGCGCGAGTGGAGCCGCAGAAGCTAGTAAGAAATAAGTAGCGTGCAGTTGGTATATGTATACAAGTGACCTGCGTGACGTCGTCGGCGACGGCCTGGTGGACGCCATCGCGGCGCGCGTCGGGCGCGGCCAGGCGCCGCAGCTTGCTGAGCTCGTCCAGCACTATGGTCTGCACGTCTTCCCAGTACGCCTGGTTCGCGTTGTTCTCCAGTTCCTTGTACACCTGCACACAACACTCGCGTCACTCTCATCCTTCAAGTACGCCACTGCTGTGCGTTAGCCGCGAGCGTCCATACCTTGATATCTTCTAGCAGATCTTCCAGGTCCTGGCTCTGCAAACCGTTGAGGTAAGTGTAGGGCTCGTGCATTTCCAGCGCATCCACGCATTCCTCCGAGCTCACGTACCACGCCAGTAGGTCTATGGGCTTGGCTGAAAAGAAAGAAGCGAGATGAGCGGAGGCGGTCACAGGAAGACATCGGACGGTTAAGTCTGGGGCCGTGGCGAACCTCGTCCGTCGCGGATGCGTATCTGCGAGCGTAGACGCGCCTGGTGCAGATGGAAGGCGTCCTCCTGGCGCGCCCACGTGTGGAACTGCAGCGCCTCGCGCGCGCGCGCCGCGGCCGCCGCCTCCGCCTCGCGCGCCACGCGCTCCGCCTCGCGCTCCAGGCGGCGCTGCTTCACCTGCGCGGTCACTCCCCGTTAATGCCTCAGACAAACTATTTATTCACACGACATAGCCAACGACACAAACGATATAGCAAGTAATCATTCTGTATAAATACATAACTAGCGACCCGCCCCGGCTTCGCACGGGTGCAATATGCATGTATTATACATACAAACCTTCCTTAAGAATCACTCTATCTATTAAAAGAAACCGCATCAAAATCCGTTGCGTAGTTTTAAAGATCTAAGCATACATACGGACATACAGCGAAAGCGACTTTGTTTTATACTATGTATTGATTGATAATTACTTTTTCCAATTCTATTTTATTTTCCAACTGCTTTTGTCGATTGAGAGCTTCTAATTCATCACGTGACACAGTCTTGACGCCTTCCTTAGCAAGTTTCTTGGTCCAGACAAAAGTGTTTGTAAGCGCAGAGTCCCCGAACGGGTTGTCTTGATTGGTGTAGCATTGGTATTCATTATCCCAGCCCATGCGCTCACGACGCTTGCGCTCCTTTTCTTGTTTTTCCCGTAAACGACGAGCCCTAGAAAACATAAAGGATGTCTTATTTTTGTATTATAAAATGAGCGTTTAAAAAGAGTGTGGAACGTAATATAAAATCACGTTTGTACGACACTACTGGATGCAGAAAGCATGGCTCATACAAATTTCTATTTTCAGGAAGCACGTTTCGCCGAAAACTTTATTGGTAGAAAATATTGTTGTATTGTATTGTAACTAAGGTTTATTTGTAGTGCTTTATTTTTTACATTATGAAATATATAGACATAACTATATGAAAGCGAGGTACACGCGGAATGTCTTTTGCAGTTAATCTTAGCCGTGCCCTACAAAGGCAAGTTTTTAATTTGGATAATGCTCGTAAATACTTTGAATACCAACAACAATTACGCATTCTTCGGGAAACAAGGAATCGTAAATGTACACAAACGGACTGTAGAAGACAGAGGGTCGACTTGCGAGGGATTTGGTGAAACACCTTTACTTTCAATTTTTATTCACATCCATTGTTCCTTTTCCCGCTAGGGGCGCTGGTTGTACTCGTCAACGTCAAGTTTGACGAGTAACCTAACCAAATTGATGTAACGAAACCATAGCGCGATCTATCTCGACATTAACACCCTCTATCGAGCGACGTGACAACTCTGACTATTAGTAATTTTATTATAATTAAATGTTGATCGCGCTATGATCCCGTTACCGCTCCGAACACGGACACTTTACTAAACTTTACAAATAATTTTCGTGTGTAAATCTGTTAACATTTTAAAGTTGTTAGTTATGGATTGTTAAAGTAAATTTACTTAACAATCTTACTTATCCTTACTAATATTATAAATTGGAAAGTGAGTTTGTTTGTTTGTTCCGCTTTCAGGCCGAACTACTAAACCGATTGCTTTGAATTTTTGCAGACATAAAGTAAGAAGTCCGGATTAAATAATAGGGTACTTTTTATCCCGGAAAAATTTGTTATTCCCGAGGGAAAACAAAAGTATTGGTATAGATGGCGCTGTGTGTATAAGTATATGAAACATAGGCTACTTTTTATCCTTTTGTGACGCGAGCGAAGCCGCGGGTAAAAGCTAGTTTTTTTTTATATTTTAGACTTACTTAGACAATCTATGAGACATAAAAAAATTGACGTAGATGTAATTTGTGTGACAGAGCATAATTTAATTAACCATGACATATCATTATCTAATATGCAATCCTTAACCATAGGTTCAATTGTATGTAGGAAGAATAGAAGTGAGAGGTCCTGTATTCTAATTAGACGCGGATTTAAATTCAAAATTATTAATGATATTGCAAAACACACAAGAGTAAATGTCATTGAGTGCAGTGCTATAAAACTATTGAATCAGAATCTAGTTATAATCTATATATATAAAAGAAAGTCGTGTTAGTTACACTATTTATAACTCAAGAACCGCTACATCGATTTGGATGAAAATTGGTGAGGATGTAGCTTAGAACCAGGAGACGGACATAGGGTACTTTATACCCAATACTTATTTTTTACTTTTAACCGAAAATCAAGAGCTGGTACGGGAAATATCGGGATTGCGCATACGAAGTCGCGGGCAGAAGCTAGTATGCATACATAAACCACCTAAAACCAACCGAGAGGATACAGATTTATTTTTTATGAAACTGAATGATATGCATTGTTGTTTATACATCTAAAAAACTGATAGTTTGTTTAGTTCTCAAAATAATAGAATCTCAAATTGCTGAATTTATTTTGAAACTAGCTGTAACAACTCCCACTCAATTAATTAGTAATATGTGTATTGATCATTTCATCAAAATGTTAATGGATGCAAATCTGATGTATTCAATTTGGCCCTGTCAGATCATTCAGTACAATTATTGATTGCCCCGTAAAATATAACCTTAGAATATAATAATGTACTGGGACGTTGAAAGAAAAGACTATTGCCAAGAAAATATTATAAAATTTAAAAATTAACTCCACTCTCTTACATTTAATGATGTCTATGAAGAACTGGACCCAGACAATGCTTTTAGCAAGTTTCTTGATATCTATTTTCAGTCTTCTGTATAACTTATGCTTTCTCATAGCAAACAATCACTGAACTCTCGACCAAAATGGATCAGTAAAGGGATAAAAAACTGTTCTAAAAGAACAGTTTTTTCTTAAGAGTCATTTGCTATGTCCTGTATATGTACAGGAGAACAAGGAGACTCATCAAAGATAGATTTTGGCTATTATTTCAGGAAATTAATGTACCCAGCTGTAAATTCGTAAGTATTTTGGCATCGTAAATATACATATGATTTGATGGTTGGAACTTCAATAGTCGAGGGCCAAATGTAAGATAAAAACATGTTCTTAGAAACAATTCTCATTTACAAAAGGTTTTATGCTAATTGTAACGTAACATAACATCACGCCTTTTATCCCCGAAGAAGTAGGCAGAGGTGCACATTATGCCACTGTATAATGCAACACCCACTTTTAACTAATTATGTTATGAGTCCCATGTAGTAGGGGCTCCGTGCTAACTATTGAGAATTTTTTAAAAACCCAGAAATACTTGGCCCGGCCCGGGAACCGAACCCGAGACCCCTTGCCTGGCAGTCGCATTTGCTACCACTCGGCCAATGAGGCAGTCGTTTATTGTTGATTGTGTTTGCAATTACCAATTACTAATTGCAATTGTATTTGGTGTAATAATTTATTTATTTATTTTAATTCGGGTAACCAACAGCTATAAAACAAATAATAAAATTTCCGAATATGCTAATACAAAGCCAATTATAGGTTTCCACGCATAGCTATAGTATATCTTTACAGACGTTTTGCGAATGCAATGCACATAAAAGTATAAAACATGGATAGTCATTCAAAAAATTTTAGGTTTAGTCGCCTACGCACCCTGGAACTGCTTGTGGTAAATGGATCAAGTCCTAAATCCTTGCACAATCTATTATAATTCCTACTCACTCGCACAATATAGGAATTTTGTCTATAATTTGAGGAAGAAGTTGGGACAGCAATTGGTGGGTACTGGGTTAAAACGAACCAACTTTTTCGGAACATTAAATGACAGCTTATGCAAAAGGTCTGAGCAATCGATTTCGCTATTCAGTATCTTGGCAAAATAAGTGCAATCCGCTATTCGACGGCGATTTATAAGTGGGTGGAGATGAAATTTTTTCCATAGTTCCATATAATTCTCCGATCGATACGGTATCTTCAGACGAAAACAAAGAAAGCGAATAAATCTTTTTTGGATGCTCTCAATGCGGTCTATGTACTTGTCATAGCAGGGGTTCCAGATTTGGGAAGCATATTCAAGATGGCTTCTGACGAATGTGCAGTACAGGATCTTAAGTGTTTTGGCCTTTCTGAAACAGCCCCCGAGCCTTTGTACAAAACCTAGTGCTTTAGAGGCTTTTGCCACCATTTGCTCAATGTGAGTATTAAATAAAAGTTTTGAGTCATGGTAAACGCCCAGATCCCGCACTCCAAGACTACTAGATAATATTTGGCCCTTTAAGCTATAGGTAGTCTGAAATGGAACACTTCCTGCTAAACGTAACGACAGAGCATTTAGCGGGGTTTAAATCTAACCTGTTGGACTGACAGTAATCGGTCAGATGGTCCAAGTCAGACTGTAGTGACAGCATATCATTAGTTGATCATATGGAGGTAAATATCTTCATATCATCGGCAAAACAAAGAAGTTTAGAATTACGAAAACAAGAGTCTATGTCATTGACGAATATTATAAACAGTAATGGCCCCATTAAGGATCCCTGGGGCACCCCACTGGGAATTGAAACCCATATTGGAGAGAATTAAATTGTCAACAACCTTTGTTTTAAACATGTTGTACATCAAATCAATTGTGAGATACAAGCAGTGCTAGCCAAATGCCATTTAGCGCTTGTCTACATGTAGAATAGAAAACCAAATTATATGGAATTGACGTAAATTTTGACACTTGTCAGTGTCATCCCCATACATTTTGATTTCTACTCTCTCTGTAGACAAGCGCTAAAGTGGTTTTTGGCTAGAGGCCAAGGGCAGCTGAGAACAGATTAAATATTATGTGAAATCAAGTTGTAGTCCTGATCAAAGTTAGCTCATTTACAGTTTATACACTATAAATTTTTTTATTGATTATTATAAAACATTTATACCTCTTTTCTTCTGGTGTTTCATTTGCCTTTAGTAGTTCTTTCTGTTTTTTCTTTTCCTCCTTCAGCCGAAGTCGTTCAGCTTCAAGCCTTTGCAGCAGCTTCAGCTCCTCTTCATCACTACTTGAACTGCTGCTAGATGATTGCCTTTTCTTTTTCTTACTCTTTTTGTGCTTAGTTCTATCTCTGCTATCAGATCTCTGCTTTGATGACTTAGGAGACTGAGGTCGAGTCCTTTCATAACTTTTATGTCTGTGGTCATTTCGTTGTTTCGAAGATGCGCTTTCTGAACGCTCATGTCGTTGTACTTCGTGCCGCGATGACCTAAGTGGACATCGGAAAAACATCACTAATTAATAACACTGGTCGACAAGTATTCTGTAACAATTAAAACTACCATCTTTTTGAATAGAACTAAGCAAGATAACCAAATTTTTCAAAGAAAGTACATGTCTATCACATCTAGATTTTGTGTAATCTACTGTAAAATTCTTGAAATTTTATAATTGTTTGCTTATTCCGTGACTTTGTAGAAAAATACGTTTGTATTTTTAAAAAAAAATATAAGTACAATATATATACAAATCTTATTCTTTCCATATCATATGGAATTGTTTCTCTAGATTATATCATCACTGAGTTATAGAAATTTGAAATTTAGACAGAATTGTGCATAGAACATTGTTAATATCGGTTACACAATTTTTTTTGCCCCACATTAGGATTTTCTCCTGTGTGTGCGTTTACAAACATACAAGTTCACATACACAATGACACCCAGACCCGAAACAACAATTTGTGGATCACACGAACGTTGTTCCGTGTGGGAATTGAACCCGCGACACGTTGCACACCAGCCGGTTGCCCAGCTACCGCACCAGCCATATATCTCAGCTATGGTGCATGTTAAAGTATTAACTCGAAGTGTAAAGAAAAGATTAAACTTGTAACTTTTAAATTAATTTGTTAAATGTATAGTAAATGGAATTGTGAATTTTATGTAAAGCAATAAAATACGTTATAATAATAATATTGGTTACCTTTGTTAACAGATAACATAAAATCTAGACGTGATAGACATACACTTTCTTCAAAGTTGGTACTCGCCATGCATAGTTCTATAAAAAAAATGCATTGTTTCAGCTGTTACTTTGAAAATACTTATTTTTGTAGACCAGTGTAATAAGTATATTTATTTTGCAGCATGTTTACAGATCAATACAAATTTTACATAGATCAAGGTTACTTACATTGTTTTGCCTATAGATCTACCTCTACAGTGAAAATAAAATCAGCGTTCGCAGAAGTCACAACCACAATTCGCTTCAATATTAAAAATAGGTAACCATAATGTTTATCGCTAGCATGTAAAACATTATTCACTGCACACTGCACATTCTTGATGATATTTCATAGAATAAATGTACTATATTGTATTTAACACAGAGCATGTATTATGCACAGATAACTATTTTACTAGTCGCTCTCAGACTATTACATATTACAAATATATTTTGTATTTACAAATGGATTATAATTTTGATATAACAAGCTAACAATCACAATCAAGGACCAAGCAAGACCAATGACACTGACGTAAAGGTGAGATGAATATTTGTAAGAAGCATAGACAAAAAAAAGAAACGTCATCACGTAGCAGGGAAATATAATCTGTGGTTCGAAAAAGTCAAGACGGCGGGAACTCCATAGATGTAGGTACTATTATTCATAATATAATAATATGGGGAACTCGGAAGTTATTGAGACGGCGTATTTGGTGTTGAGGGAATTTTAATCCATTTGAAAGTCAATTTGCAATTTGTCAATGGTTATGGTTTAACTAGTCCCGATTTTGTTATTTATTTCTATGTTAACAATATTAGGTGCATTGTAAATGTGGTACTAGATTTCCCTTCTGAATTTCTAAAATCCAATACCTACCTATACAATAAGTTTCTAATATCAAAGAGTGAGGTGAACTCTATGACAGTTGTTATTTAAGTTTTATAATAATACATATGTTACTTTGTCTGTGGAAATAATTTGAATTAAACCATAGAAAGGAGAATGGCAGGTTTGTATGGAGGTTTGGTACCGCCATAAAATTTTGTATTTGTCATTGTTTTAGCCAAGTGAATGGTCTGAACGATAGATATTTTTATTATGAAGTTTAGAAAAAAATTACATATTTTTAGAACTTGGGGTTCAAAAGTTATTTCACTTTGAAAATGTGCAGAAGGTACGTAAAGGCGGTATTACACTTGCCATGGCGTATTCGCTTCATTTGTACAAATATTTGTGAACTACGTACAAATGGCGTCCAAATAGTATCTATAAATGTAAAAGCGTGCAAATATATGTATATAGCAAATGAAAACGAATAAACTCTCCACACATGGTCTGTTTTGGCCGAACACAACAAATACGAAAGTATAATGCCACCTTTACGCAAAAGTACATAATTTGACAAATGACAGATGACAGTTAATTGAAAAGTGTCAATGTGGACTTATTTATTTGGTTGTTTTGTTTACAAACTAAACTCTAAACACTGCTCGCTACTCGTGACTGTTACACTTTGTATTATGAGTAAATTAATTAACTGTTAATTCAGCAAGTATGCTGTAACTATAGAGTTTTACAGAGTATGCTTTACAATCTTTTTCATTTACTAGGTGCCTACGAAAATGCAAATTAATATTGTGAGCGACTGTCATTGGGTAGAAGGCCTACATTTAGCAGTGGACGTCTTTTGGCGGATATGATAAAACTAATGTCTCACTTCACCTTGAATCTTGCGGGCAGATGCAAGATTTAATGTGTAAAATCAAGATTCGAGGCAGAGGCCTGATATACAAATAGTCTTTAAGTTAATTCGATTTAAACTTAAGCGTAGCTCTTTGAGAAAGTATTTCTTCTGAAAACTGGTTGCTTAGCAAGCGTTTTAAGGTTTAATTTCTAATAAGTAAGTCAAATAAGTAAAATCATCATCAGTTTCATCATTAAGTCTATAAGTGGCCCATGCCGACCGAAGGTCTCTTCTCACTGGATTAGGTTTAAGCATTAACTCGTTGAGTACCGTAATTATAGACACAATTAAAGAACAATAGGTTGTGGTCATCGGTGACCGCTCTGTGTTTGACAGTTTAATCAGTACGCTAGCTTAATGTGGGTTGGTGATTTCAAACTTATAATTAGAAATTATAAGCCCAGGTTTCCTCACAATGTTTTCCTTCACCGTTTGTCAGTGGTGTCTTTGTACTTTCTTAGATTATTAAATAATAAATAAAAAATATATATACATAACTCGAAAAAGTCACATTGGTACTTTGCCGTTGCAACTTGCACTCTCATGCATGAGAAACGGGCTTCTTAAACCTCCTGGCCACCACAACACAAGTAAAGAAATGTAAAATGAAAATGAACATTTTTGGTATAAAACTAAAGCAATCTAAAATAAAGATGGCATTTATTTTATAGATTGTTTATATATAGTTACTAGGTACCTGTTTAAAATAAAACAAATGTATTATTTTGAAATACTTTTATTTCATTGTATTTAGGTTGTTTCTAGGAGTACTTCTTCTAAAAAGAGAGCAGGCGGTGTCATACAGCACACACTTCATTAATTGCTGATATCTGTAAACAAGTAAGATAACTGTAAATAAAGTAAACAAAACAACATTTTTTCCATTAGTTTCACATGTTATAATTCTGATTCCCTATCTCAAAATAGAAAAGATAAAAATAAATATTTGATTACATTATTTGATTTTACAATGTTAAAATGCCTTTAACTCGTCGAGTACCATCATTATAGACACAATTATAGAACAATAGGTTGCGGTCACCGGTGACCGCTTGGTGTTTGACAGTTTAATAGGGTATTCCTATAACACACATCATAGGAGCTCAAACAGCATGCTAATTAATCAATTATTATAATTATAACATGTGTATAAACCTATTATAAACCGGTTATACACTTCACATACCTATTGAAGCTCTGACAGCCGATCAACATCTTCTGGCCTCATCTGTTCTACAAACGGCAATGTTAAAGTGAGGCTTAGTCCATTGTGTATGTGAACTTGTATGTTTGTAAACGCACCCACGACACAGGAGAAAATCCTAGTGTGGGGCAATTTTTTTTTTTTTTTTTTTTTAAATGTTTACATAACACATTACATCCTGATAGTGAACACTATGAGGTGGTATGTCAGGTTGTGGTCTTATAGATCCGACTCTTGTTAAGGCTCTCAGCCAGCATGGAACACGATCTTCATCATTGGAAGTAAGCTAAAAAAAGTAATATTATTAGAATGTCATATTGACTTTAAATTATATGATAATAGTATATGGTTAATACAATAAATTATTACCTTTCGTGGCTGAATCCAATCAGATACTATATGAGCTAGTCTTTGCTCCTGTTCGTTGGCGCCTTCAATTAAACCCCTGCGTCACCTTATCCTTGCAATGGAATGCCCACATACGACACAGACATGTCAATGATCAGTTTGTTTGCTGGACATACTTTCAGGAACATCCCAATACATTGCTAATTGCCAGCAAGCATGGCAAATATGGTCGGTAGGAGAGATCTAGAATAAAATGATACATTATAGGTAGATAACACTATGCCCCCTTTATTTAGGCAACAAGGTGACTTTCGATACGTCATGTGTAATTATAGGTAAGTACCTACTTACATCTCTAGGATAAGTCCACAATGGGATATTGTTGACCACGTCTAGTCTTCACTCTCATTTCCTAGAGCATGCCGTCTCATGCGACAAACTCTGGTTGTAATTAATGCACTGTAAATTCGTCATCGCGACAAAATACAACACACTATGCACAAATGAAAATAAGTGTATTTTCGCAATTTCGGCTACGGAGGAACGGCTGCCCAACTCAAAGTATCACCAGATGAATAAAATGACTTCCAATTTGTACAAACACATCATAACACCGCATTCGAAACCAACAGCAAGGCGCACTTGACATTGACAAATCGTCTTCAACAACAAATGTCAAATACCAGTTCAACATTGCCATATTCAAGTTGTGAAAATGTTAATTATCGTTAATAATCCATGTAGACCTCACAAAATGAAATTAAAATAATGATATTTACTTATAAAAATGTTTGAAATGGAAAGGAAGATATTTCATTGTTAGATATTAAAATAAATGAGTTTATGAAATAGCGGCATTCAATATACAGTGATTTCATGTTTACGCATGGTAACTTTATAAACGTCAATCGCGGTTTGTTTTTTATTTATGTAGCCGTTTTGTTTATTGCTTCTTATCATTATTGAATATCAGATTTTCTAGGGTTTCCTAATTTCTAAAAATCTATTAAATATGCTAACATAACGTATTTAGAGGATTCTATAGCTGCCCAATTGCCCAAGGCAAAACAATGACAAATCTTTTTTTAGCAAAGCGGTACGAAATCTGCCGTTCTCCTTTCAAATTCCTACAAAAAAAAAACATGGCTACATTTTTTGGATATTATTCCTGGTATTTTGTTGATGATGACCGTATACAACGCATATTTCTTTATTTACTTGTCAGAAATATTTTGTACTTAATAAATGATTATAAACTATTTCAAGGAATATAATAAAGCTTATTGTGGACTTTTTTACTTCTTTTTATTTTGTTTGTTATTTTATTCTTGGTATAAGGCCACGGAATCAGAACAGAGAGAACCATTAACTGGCCACTGTTGAAGTAAAAAAAAACATTTCGCTTGATTGGCTAGCGTGTTCACTTTATACGTATACGGTTTATGATCTATGACAGATTTTCGGGATCAAGTTCCTTTCAGTCGAAAACCCGCAAAATACTTTACTGAGTCCTAGATATCATGAAATGCTATGTTTGTCAGCTGCGGCGTCTGTAGCGGATTGAGTAACGGCAGTCGTCAAAAAACGAAAAAATCATTTTCTGCCTACTTCACCCGACTTGCCCCCAATTAGTAACTAATCTATCTACTTAATACTCTAATCTACAGCTAGCATAAGATTTTGTACAAAGATATCGTCATTCAGTCACAAATTGTTGGGTTATATTTCGGATTGATCACATTGATATATGAAAAAAATATACGCTCATCTAACGTATAGTCCATCAATTTACAAAGTCGACGTTTTTCTTTCTTCAAATGATTATGCTAACTATGAAGAAGATGAGCCTCCCACCAGGAGTTAACGGCAAAAAAAATAATACTTTGTTACATGTTTGTACTGCTGCTATTACTCAACCCACCACTGGTACCACAGCTAACGCTCATGATAAATGACCTACCAAGCATAATAAAAGGGTCGATATGCCTATTTTTGCCGATGACCTAAAACTTATACACGAAATAAGGGATAACGAGGACCATGTTAGTTTACAACACGATATTGACAGAGTCATTGAGTGGAGCCGGGAATTCAAGTTGTATTTCAACGTTGCTAAATGCTCAGTTCTGTCATTCACTCGTGCAAGCAGTCCCCGTCACCACTGATACTGCATGGAAGGTGAACTGTTGCAACGCGTTACGGAGGTGAAAGATTTAGGAGTTCATTTTGT